GTAAAAGTCTAGCAATGACTAATGAAAACGAGTATTCGCATGAAGATCTGCATGGAAATATTTGTTAGATTGTTCTCAAATTTCTGCAGACCGTACAATGATCAATGGAAATGCGAATTTGCATAGAAATTTGCATTGCGATTGTTAGACACACGCGGAAATTTGATTGCGTTGTTCTCACATTTCAGCGGTACGCATATCACTATAATATGGTTGATATAATATAATCAGATCTTCATTTATTAACCATAGGTCGCTCATGGTATTAGTAGGCTTAAGGTCAGCTTAAGGAAAGGTCATTTTACATCCATGTAAGAGAAAATGACATAAATATTATTTTTAACTGTTTCAAATACATATGTTTATTTATACAATACTGTTAAATAATACATTTAGGTACTTATATGTAAATTATAATATATTAATGCAAAAATAAAATACAATCAATTTATAAAGGATCACTGTTAGAAAAAATATATGATTAAATTCTATGGACATTTTTTGACCCCCCCCCCCCCTCCGTTCGAGCATTTTACGATTAGTGATTCTATTTTAATAAGGACTTTTATGAAATTACGATACAAACAGAGAGAGTTCTGCAGAAGTACAATTAAATTACTTAAGAAATTATAGTTACAAAGAAGAACATAAGAATGAATAAGAAAGAAGAACATAAACGTGTATTTCGCTTCTTAAAAATTTTTGACTGTAATTTGAAGAACTGTATTTCAATTACATTGTATTTCAATTACATTGAATTTCAATTACAATGTATATCAATTTCATTGTTTATCAATTTATTATATTATATTATACTATTATATTAATTTTCAATTGCACTGTATGTCGATCACATTGTATTTCATTTACATTGTATTTCAATTGCATTGTATTTGTATAAAATGAAAGGTTCTAACCATGTAATTGAATTACAATGTAGTTCAATTACTATGTAATTGAAGTACAATGCAATTACATACATTACAACTTACTTAGCACATGTCTGAATGCCAGTTGTAAGAAAAATTCCTTCGATGAATACCTTCCATTTTCTGTTAAATCATTTTCTCATACAAATCACAGTGGGCTGCATAGAAAACTGCATATAAAAGATACCGTGCATTCAGCTCCTCTGCAAAATACTGTTCCAATTTAATGAATTTCTATCTTTTTGCACAGAAACGATTCATTGCCCAACCTGTTCTGTTTCTCAGAAAACATTGTGACACATTTAATTTCAACAAGAAACTCCCGTCGATCCTTTTTGTTTGCATTATTGCAACTAACTAGCTGGCACGAACGTTGTTTTAATTAAAATTCTCGCGCACCGACAGGGTAGAAAGTCCTGCCGCCGGTCGCACGACGGTTTTTTGATTTTTTTTTCATCGGAAACCGACGAATCCCATTGCACCGGACGAGTTCTTTCGTCTTGAAACCGCACGTTATGATCGGTAAAACGATCGATCGGCGATATGTCGTTCTTCGTTTCGCGATTTCACGCGCGAAAAGACGGGAGCCGTGTTGCGCAAGATCGACAATAGTAAAACGAGATTTCCCGGGTTCCGCGCCGGATTATGCGCCGGACGGATTACGTGCTACAAAACTCGTTACTTTTTGGTTTTTATTCTCAGCGCGTTGCAAAACTGAGAAAAATATATATTTTTTTTCGTCGGGTAAAAAAAAACGGGCCGGCGACAGAGAGAGCCGGCACGAAAGAAAAAATGACCAATAAAAGCTGCCGGCGCGCGGATGATCCCATTAAAAAGTTTATTCGTCGACAACAAAAATCACGATATCGCTAACAAGGTACCGGCCATGTATCTCGCGTTTTTTTTGAAGTCGCAGATTAATCTCCAACTGATTTTTCCATGAACGGGAATGCGGTGGCAATAGTGATCGCAGCTGTCGCAACGAAATATCAACGGGAAAAAGAATAATAAGTTGTACGAATCAAAATGTAATGATAGCGAGCATGTAAAATGCGATTCAAGCTAACAGAATAAGCTTCTCTATAAATTGCTATACTCGATTGAAATAAATATAAAAACGAGAAGCACAAAACAATCAACGCTTCGGTAGAATTTTTTATCAGATAATACGATATTTATTTTCAATTCATGTTCCACCGGGATTACAATGGTTTCTCGGGGGTAGATACAACAATATCGCTTTTCCGCGATAGCAAAATATATATACAAGGTGTTCCAAAATTATGTTATGTTCGAGATTCTGCAATTAATTGTTTTTTACTGCGAATGGACGCGGGTATAAAGATTACTTGCGCAAAATTACAACAAAATTGAGTAACGAGTGGAGGAAACAGTAAAATTTTAATCTTCTGCTATTTCAACAAAGGCAGAAAACTTTTTTGTTGTTGTTCTGTTTGCATTTTCATCTCGCATTGAAAATGGATTTTGTAGCTTATATTGTTGTAACTCTTTTTTTGCCACTGATAACAACGTTAAACGATTTCGATGAAATGTTCAATATGTCTATACGGTGTCCCAAAAATGTCTTGCAATCCGAAAATGAAGGGTTTCCTTAGCGAAAATGCAATCCGCAATTTATCTTCATATCTTCATATATCATACCTAGAGAATATAACCTAATATATAACATAAACTAACCCAACTGTTACATTGTGTATATGTATATGCAGGGTTAGATCCTATTTGAAGTAATGCTCTCAATTATCTCCTAAACTATAATTCTCTCTCTCTCTCTCTCTCTCCCTCTCGTTTAAAAAAATGTTTCACGTAAATCATCCTCGGCTTCGAAGGGGATATCTTATAATGGTCGCAAATTTTTGCTGGGTGGGTCGTGTTTCCGAGATTTCTCGGTGACCTTAGTTTTTTTTTTTTAATAGAACATATTTTAATAGAATATTTTTCTTATGTAATGGGATTGTACATTTCAAGGTCAATTCGTTCATCTATAACACTATGGTCCTTGAAGTCTTTGGCTTCTGTTTATTTTCAGGAGTAATTATATATATATAATAATATAATAATATAGTAATATATAGTAATGTAATAATATAATAATATAATAATAAAATAATATGATAATATAACAATATAACAATATAATAATATAATAATATAATTATATAATTATAATATAATAATATTTATCATATGGGACATACCAAATTA